ACATATATGCTTTGTATTTTATAAATTAACAATATATTGTTAGATGACTTTATTGTCTTTTAAAAAAGAAAAAATTAAAACAAAATATGTTCATAAATTGTGCGACTTTATTGTTCTAAAAAAACAAAAGTAATTTTAGTGAAGTATTCTCATAAGTTAAATGACCATTCAAGGAATTATTTTCGGTGTTTTTAAGTTAAAATAATATTTTAAAATATTTTTATATGTTTGGGTAAAATTTTAAAAAGTTCTTTTAAACAGTGTTTGTAAGCCAAAATAATAAAGTTAAAGGCTATGAATTACAAATTCTAACTTATATTTTTTGACTTATAAATCATAAGTCGTAAGTTCGTCTGAACCGGCTCTAAGAGCTCTAACTTTAACAATATATATGAGCAAGATTTAGACGTCTCTCAGTGCATAGGACCCCCATAATATTCTATGATGTCATTGCACATGTTGGCAATACAAATTGCAAACACTTCAAACTCTATAAGAACCACATTATTTCAGCACATGAATTTCTCATTCCATACATTTGATTGATTGAAAGAAGTTGCAAAAGATGACTACTCACAAAGCTCATTGCTTGATCTTACCATATCCAGTCCAAGGTCATATCAACCCAATGCTCCAATTCTCCAAACGTTTACAATCCAAAGGTGTCAAAATCACTATAGCACCAACAAAATACTTCTTGAAAACCATGCAAGAATCGCCAACTTCGTTGTCAATCGAAGCCATCTCAGATGGCTACGACGATGGTGGCATCGACCAAGCAGGATCTTATGTGGCCTACATAACAAGATTCAAAGAAGTTGGCTCGGATACTCTGTCTCAGCTTATTGAAAAGTTAGCATATTGTGGCTGCCCTGTGAATTGCATAGTATATGATCCATTCCTTCCTTGGGCTGTTGAAGTTGCAAAGAATTTTGGATTAGTTAGTGCTGCWTTTTTCACACAAWMTTGTGCAGTGGATAACATTTATTACCATGTACATAAAGGGGTACTAAAACTTCCTCCTACTCAACTTGATCAACAAATCTTGCTTCCTGGATTTTCAAGTCCAATTGATAGTTCAGATGTGCCTAGTTTTGTTATTAGTCCTGAAGCAGAAAGAATACTTGAAATGTTGGCGAGTCAATTCTCAAATCTTGACAAAGTGGATTGGGTCCTAATCAACAGCTTCTATGAGTTGGAGAAAGAGGTAAGAGAAATGTTCTTCTAAATTGCATAGTTCAGCTTAGTCCATATGTGGCCCGGTCGTAACTGCTTGTAGTACCTTAGTAAAATCCTTGTAACTTTCTACTCCTAGCTCGAATTGACGAATGGTTGGATGTGTTGGAAACTAAATTCGAAGAGTTTTAGTTTGATCAGTATAAAAACCAAAAACACTTCATTTATTGGGAGATATGATGTTTTAAAGTTGACCCTTAAGCTTCCTCCTATGGCCAAGATATGACTCGTACATTACATATACAGCCCGTACTACTTGGTTGAAAGTAGCTCCTCCATTCCATACCATCCGTGACTGAAGGTATGGGTAAGTGAAATTATCTTACAAAATAAAACACAAGGCGTAACACCTTCAAACTCGATCTTTTTAATCTTCAATCAACTCCATACATCCCTAATACTTTATAAATCAAAAGAATTCTGTTGTTCTTTTCTTTGTCCATTAGGAACTCTGTTGTGTGGCATGAAACCTTGTTATCATGTATCTAATTGTTTGTCATTTAGGTAATTGATTGGATGTCCAAGATTTATCCCATCAAGACAATTGGACCAACAATACCATCAATGTACCTAGACAAGAGGCTACCAGATGACAAAGCATATGGCCTTAGTATGTTCAAGCCAATGACAGATGACTGCGTAAATTGGTTAAACCATCAACCAATTAGCTCAGTAGTGTATGTATCATTTGGAAGTTTAGCCAAATTAGAAGCTGAGCAAATGGAAGAATTGGCATGGGGTTTGAAGAATAGCAACAAGAACTTCTTGTGGGTAGTTAGATCCACTGAACAACCCAAACTTCCCAAGAACTTCATAGAGGAATTAACAAGTAATGAAAAAGGCCTAGTGGTGTCATGGTGTCCGCAACTACAAGTGTTGGAACATGAATCAATAGGGTGTTTTCTCACGCACTGTGGATGGAATTCAACTCTGGAAGCAATTAGTTTGGGAGTGCCAATGGTGACAATGCCACATTGGTCAGATCAACCAACAAATGCAAAGCTTGTGCAAGATGTTTGGGAGATGGGAGTTAGAGCCAAACAAGATGACAAAGGGATAGTGAGAAGAGAAGTTATTGAAGAATGTATAAAGCTAGTGATGGAAGAAGAGAAAGGAGAAGTGATTAGGGAAAATGCAAAGAAATGGAAGGAATTGGCCAGAAATGCTGTGGATGAAGGTGGAAGTTCAGATAAAAACATTGAAGAATTTGTTTCCAAGTTGGTGGCTATTTCCTATGTAGGAAATTGAGCCATAGAAAAATAAACAAGAATCTTATTTGTATTTTGCAAATTCTATTTTTCAGGTTGAAAATAGCAAATTTTGACCTAAATCTGCCTTTATTTTGTCCTTTTTCCCAATTTCTGTGAAAGGATAAAGCTATAATTGCAGTATTGTCTATTGATAATATGGATTGATGACATTTGATGGTCAATGGGTTATTCCCTGCTTATTTGTTAAGATTATTGGATTGCTTTATTTGCAATCAGACCTTTAAATGAACTTCTGAATGTAATTAGTTAAGAGTTTAAATCCTATACACTGACCTTTTTACTTTATAAGTTCATCTATCAGATAACTCCAGATAACCGTCTAACCTGAAAAATAAGGTGGAAAACGTGCTACAACAGGTCAAAATACAATAACAGTATAAAACTTCGTTAAATTGTCAGTATATATAAGTTTAACTCTTATAATGAAAAGTTTTATAAAAATGATGCAAGACAAGATATAGATATATTAAGTGAGAAATTTTTAGGAGTGACAAAAGAAAAGTTATCACTAATCAGAAAAGCCTGTCAATCTTTTTACCTAGTGTTGAACTTATAGTTTGGTAACTCTTTTAAAGCATTCATATACTGGCGAGTTCCAGATGTGATAAATTCAACAATGTGTCGACATTGACTTAGTTCAAAGTGACTCTTCGAGATTTAATTTGTGTCAAAGTAGAATCTTATTCTCCTTCTTCAATCTCCTCATGTGTGTGTGTGTGAAGATGTTATCGTAGTAAAAAAATTGGATCATTTATGTTTTAGACTTTTGTAAACAGAATAAAAATATTGTGCATCTCTCCTCAATTAAGTTCTCATTCTACCCCTCTAATACCTTTCTGCACATGCTTGGAAGCTTTCTATTTTTTCTTTTTTATGTTTGATTGATCAAAATATTGTCAAAATTGTTTTTTTCCTAGAAAAATTTTATAAATCAAAAAAATAACTTCCAAAGTGGGAGTAGGGTAAACAAGTTCCATAAGTGGCATTTAGGATTCGAACCTATGACCAATCGGTTAACAGTCGACCGCTCTACCACTAAGCTACTGAGGAACAACAGGAGACTCGATCTCATAGAGTTCAATTCCCTTTCTCAAACCATAACCAATATGAGCTAAGCTTCCTTCGTAACTCCTCAAACTTCTTCTTCATAGTGGCTTCCTTACATGCCTCATTCAAGAGGGAATGGTCTATTTCATTATATTCCATCCATAGCCCAATTCCGTTCATTCAATATCTCATTGGTATCATTGACATAACAGATGTCGTTTGCCTCCTTCTCACCCCTAATCCTCCCCCTGCCAACCACCC